TCACCAAGGCACTTCAACCTTGTGATCATCAGCGTTTCAATACTATTTTAGGACTTGTGCCTACTTGGCCTCAGTTGCTCACTTCTTGACTTTACTTGTACTGTAATCTATATACTTATACCTACATACTTACACTTGCTAGGTTTTGATCACTGTACTGCTTGTTCTGCTGTATATAACTCTGCATGTGAACTGGCCTTGTTGCCATTTGTTTGTGCTCAGAGTGTGTGGTGACTTCTGATCCACCCTGAGCTTGATTTGCTCTTCTTGACTGGTCTTGTGACCTCTTGTTCTCCCCCTCTTTGCCTATGGGGGTGTGTCAAACTTATATGCTGCATGTTGTGTAGGCTGTAGTGGGGTAGACCATATGGGGTACAACCCAATTAGGGTTTATTACTTGTACTCCTGCATGCTGCTAGTTCACCTATCCTCGTTCATTCTGCTGACAAGGTGGAGCAGGAGGAGCAGGGGGTGCAAGTGGCACTAGAGGCACGGGTGGGTAAGGAGGAACAGGAGGCTCACAGGTATACCACCCGTCATCGTTTAATCACCACGCGCGTGTCAGTTTCTTCTTAAAAATGAAGGGGGTCCTGTTGAATTCCGCCATGGCTTTGCCAGCTAGGCGGGCTAAAGCAAGAAACTGAATGAAAAACAGAAATTGGGGGTACATAAATGGGAAGCGGATGGGACCCCTACTTTGCTTGCGGCTCGGGGTCCGTGTCAGGTGCATGCAAGAAACCCCCGCCTGAACCCGCGGAGGACCCTGCGTGGCAGCTTAATCGCTGCGCTGGCAAGGAATCTTCCGCACCCTTCGAGAGGGTTCGGATGAAATTCACATGACACGCAGCGCATGACGATGTAATTGGGCCACTCGTCAAGATTCGCGTCATCGATGGCAGGTGTGATGCTTCTAGAAGCTAGGTGAGGAATGTGGATTAGGTAAGAGGGAGGGGTACAAGACTATCGAGAGAATTGGGTTGTACCCTCTAAGGAATGACCCCTACACAACCTAGAGTGAAATGAACAGAACTATATGTTTTGACACACCCCCATAGGTGAAGTAGGGGATAGCCAGACCTAAAAGTGGTCACAAGACCAGTCAAGCAAGAGAACAAGCAAGGCAAAGCCCAAGGTGGATCTCAAGGACACCACACAATCTGAGCACAAGCAGGCGACCACAAGGCCAGTTCACATGCAGATTTATAATAGCAAGACAGTACACAGATCACAACCTAGCAAGAGTAAACATGCAAGTATAAAGATATATAGCACTGTACAACAAGAGCAAGTCAAGCAACCAGTAGGTGAGGCAGAGTGGGAACAAGCCCTAGAGCAGTGCAGAAACGCTGATGATCACCAGCCCCAAGGGCCTTGGTGAAGACATCAGCAATGTTGGCCCGAGAGGCCACGAAAGCAAGGCGCAGCTGACCACGCTGCTGCAGCTCACGCGCAAGGAAGTAGCGCATAGCAATGTGCTTCGTTATGTGCTCAAGTCTCTGCTCGAGACACAAGGCAAGCATTGCCTTGTTGTCGACGTACAGAACTGGAGGAGAACGAGGCCGCTCCCCCAAGTCGGTCAATAGGTAAGTCAGCCAGCGAAGCTCCTGTGCAGCCATGGCCCCAGCGTAGATCTCGGCCTCACAGCAGGAACCAAGCACAGAAGAAGAACACGTGGACCTCCACGAGACAGAACCAGAGCCAAGACTGAAGGTGTAACCCTGTGACGAACGCTGAGTCGCCTGGTCGTTGGCCCAAGAAGCGTCAGAGTGTCCTGTGAGGACCACCGAACCCCGTCCTCCAAGCATGAGCCCCATGCCCAATGTGCTGCACAAGTAACGTAGTACCCTTTTCGCAGCATCAAAGTGCACCTTTCGGTGTCTACCGGGTGCCACGTTGCGAGCCAGAAGGCTGAGAGGGTACGCGAGGTCAGGTCGTGTGCACGTCATCAGGTACTCTGGGTACGGACCACTCAGCTCTACGGACTCGTCCAAAGGTGGAGCTGAGAGCGAGTGGCCGGTAGCCAGAGGAGTGGGCTGTGGCGAGGAGTACGTGAAGCGGAAGCGCTGAAGGACCTTGTGCACCATGTGTGACTGAGTCAGGGTGATGGTGCGCCGTGCTCTGTCCCGGGTGTTCTGCAAGCCAAGTAAGCTCCGCAACTCACCCAGGTCAGTGCAGGTGTGTCTCTCCTGTAGCTCCGCCTTCACTAGGGCCAGTGCCTCAGTGTACTGGCGAAAACCAAGTCGTCAACGTACACGAGGATGTAGAACGGCGGCAGAGAATTGTCGGTGTGTAGAAACAGCGACGGGTCAGCAGTCAAAGGAGCAAACCGAAGAGCCGCAAGTGTCGTCCTCATTGTGTCGTGCCACTCGCGGGGCGCCTGACGCAGGCCGTACACTGGTCGTCGTAGGCTCCACTGGGTACCCTCAGGAAACGGCCCAGTGAAGCCCTGTGGACGGCGCAACCAGATGGCCCCGTGAAGGCTACCATGTAAGAAATATGTCGAGAAGTCGAGGGAGTGCAGCTGGTAGTCACGCTGAGCTGCAACGTGTAGCAACACCCAAAGAGTGGTCATCTTTGGGGTGGGGGAGAAGGTCTGAAAGAAGTCGACCCCCTCACGCTGACTGAAGCCTCGAGCAACGTAACGTGCCTTGAACGCAGGCGAAGAACCCAGCGGCCGCTTCACCCTGAAAATCCACATGCCACTGACGATGTTCGCCCAAGGTGGGGGAACCTCGTCGACGAAGGTGCCTGTGGACTTCCAGGAAGCCATCTCTGCGTCCATGGTTGTCTGCCACTGAGAGGAGTACTCACCCGAAATCGCCTCCCTGTAGGAGCGCAGGGTGGGGATGTCAAGTGCATCTGGGTCTCCCTCAGGGGCAAGCAGCATGGTCGTGTGATGGGGTGAAGCGGCAGCAAGGCACTCCAACTCCTCCTGTCTCTCCTCAAGAACGTCACAGCCAAGGGCAATACAGCCAAGAGCAGTCTCACCCCCGACAAACGGAGGACAGGCAGGGACAGGGTTAGAGACAAGACTCGCTATTTTCTAAAAAGGCTACATATAAGCCAGGCGTCACACAGCAGCAAAGTCAATGAGCTCAGCTACTAGGGCAGACGCAGCAGGAGACGAGAACGTAGGGTCCGTCACAACCGTAGCAAGAAGGCGAGTAACAGTCGGACTGGACGCACGAGCACGGTCAGACGGAGGGTCAGCAATGCCAGGCAAAGAGGACGCAGGAGGTAACGGTAGGAAAACACGCCGAGGAACAGAGGAAGGACGGAGTGTCATATCGTGAGAGCCGGGGACAGTCGGAGCACGCGGACGACGAACACGAGGAACACGAGCGCGGACAGCAGCTCTAGGCTCACGCTCAAGGTCAAAGCTAGACTTAGGCTCTCGATGCTCAGGGGTGGAAGCACGGGTCTCAGGCTCTCGACGCTCAGTTAAGGACTCTGACACCGCAGTGTAAGGAGCAAGAGCAGGCAGTGGGGAATGTGGTAGCAGTGGCGGCTGTGACTGATCCGCCGGTCGACAGAGCAACGGAAGAGTAATACCTGCCATAGGGAAGCCAGTAGCACCTGGCTGAAGACTGAGAAGGTGGCGAAGGGCACCAGTAGTTCCACCAGGACCTCCAGCACCTCCAGCACCTCCAGCACCTCCATCCCCAGCAGCTCCAGCACCTCTAGCATCTCCAGCACCAGAAGCACCCGCAGCTCCAGTACCCCTAGCACCTCCAGCACCAACAGAACCTCCAGCACCTCCAGCACCAGCAACTCCACGGCCTCCAGCACCAGCAGCACCTCCAGGACCTCCATCACCAGCAGCTCCAGTACCTCTAGCACCTCCAGCACCAGCACCTCCAGCACCAGCAGCTCCAGTACCCCTAGCAGCTCTTGCACCTCCAGCACCAGCAGCTCCATGACCTCTAGCACCAGTAGCACCTCCAGTACCTCCAGCACCAGTAGCTCCAAGTCCTCCTGTAGGAGCTCCGACGACACCAACACCAGAAGGACTCGCAGCACCCCCAGAGTCAGCACCCGAACTCGCAGCACCCCCAGAGTTAGAACTCTCGGTCTCAGCACTCTCAAGCTCAGTACCCTCAGTCCCAGCACTCTCAGGCTCAGTACCCTCAGTCTCAGCACCCTCAGGCTCAGTACCCTCAGTCCCAGCACCTGCAGGCTCAGTACCCTCAGTCCAAGCACCCCCAGGCTCAGTACCCTCAGTCTCTGCTCCAGTGTCCACAACACCAGGCTACAGAGGCGGCGAAGACGGCAGAGGTGGGAACCCGGGGGGGGTAGCCAGACGAGGAGAGCGGGCAACCCCAGACTCACCACCCCCAGCCCCAGCTCCAGTAGTCTCAGCTCCAAAGTCCACAGCAGCAGGCTGCGGAGGTGGCGAAGACGGCCGTGGCGGGAAACCCGGGGGGGTCTCCAAGCGAGGAGTGCGGCGAGTGGTCGTCGTGTCGTCGGCAACGACGTCACCCCCCTCAGGTGAGTCAGAGGAGTCAGAAGAGATCTCAACTGGCTCATCCATGGGGGTTGGGTCTACCTGAGACACACGTGAGGGAGCAGGACCCTGTGGGGCAAGGGGGTCTACCGGGGGGGGGGGGGGGGGGACTGGTACCAAGAAGAGAGGTGTGAGGGGGACCGGGTGGGACGCGTGCAGGTGAAGTCGGCAGTAACAGATCGACTCGTCGAAGGTGACATCCTGAGAGGACAAAACACAACGCGAGGCAGGGTGGTAGAACTGCCAGGGTGGAGCGTCGGTGGGGAAGCCCAGGAAGACACAGCGGAGAGTGCGAGGGGGGAGCTTGCTCGCTTTGGTATCGCGAACAAGGGAGAGCGCACCCCAGACCCGAAACAACGGCGCATCACCTGGCTGTCCCGGCCAACGGAGTGTGGGCGAGGTCTCTGGAGCAGAGACACAGGGTCAGAGGTTGAGCTGATGTGTGGCGTATCGGACCGCAAACGGCCACAGGAAATGGGGAGCAGCCGCATGGATCATGGAGGTACAAGCAACCTCCATGATCAGACCAATGCGACGCTCAGCGATCCCATTTTGCTGCAGAGAGGCCGGAAGCGTGAACGACCGGGCGATGCCCTCATCCTGGCAGAACGTCTCAAGGATGCCAGAGGAGTACTCACCACCCCTGTTAGAGTGCAGATGCAGGAATGGAAAGTCCCGCCGAAACCGCTCGCGCAGCTAGTGACGAGTAGCACGGATCCACGGGATCAAGACACCACTGACATCTGCCTTGCGCCGCAAGGGGAAGACTGTGGTGTAGCGTGTGTAGTCGTCAACCACCAGCAGGAAGTAGTGCTCCTGGTTCGTTCCACCGACGGGGGCCGAGCCCCACACGTCCAGGTGGAGAGTCTGCAGAGGAGTAGTGGTCGGAGGAAACTCGGAGGAGTGAGGAGCGGCGAGTTGCCGCCCCTCGACGCAAGAAAGGCACGGCGGCGCAAGCGAGCGCGGGAGGGGGGGCAGGGTCGTAGGGAGGCCAGAGATCAGGAGCCGGGAGTGCATGCCGCGCAGACACAGCTGCGGCGAATGGCCAAGATGGTGGTGCCAAAGCTGCGCAGGGTGGGTGAGGAGGCGACATGAGCAGGACGCAGCGAGCTGACCGGACACAGCCATCTGACCAGACGCAGTTACCTGTGCAGACGCTGTGGTGAGTGCGTACAGGTTCGACCCCGGCTGTCGTGTGAACGTAGCCAGGTGATGGCCTGTCTTAGCGCATGTGCAGATCGCCACACGCTGACCTCCAGGAGTAAGGGTGTCAACCCATACATCCTGAAGGACGGCGTTGCTCACCAGGTTCGTCGAGAACGAGGGGAGGTGGAGACCGGACAAAGAGCCAGAGGGGACAGCTGGGCACGGGAGGACAGTGGAGTGGCGTGCAACCACCGGGCCCCCAGAGGGGTCCGCCAGTGAGACTGGGACTGGTGTAGTGAGTGGGGTGAGAGTGGTGCAATTGCGAAAGAAGCAACGTGACGCACCAGAGTCAAGTGTGAAAGTGTGCAAGACCTCAGCAGTAGCAGCAGACACACTAGCACCTAGAGCAGTAGTGACCCTAGCACCTAGGGCAGCAGCAAACTCACTAGCACCTGGGGGAGCAGCATTACCACCAGCATCGCATGGCACACACAAGTAACACGCACCCTCAACACTATAATCAGCAACATACATGGCATAGAGAGCAGCATTGATCTTAGCAAAGTCAAGAGCAAACACATCTACCCCCTTGCCTTTAGTGGACCCAGCTAGCTACCCTCTCTGCTCCCCACCCGCTCGTCGTCAGTTTACTCCCTTGCCTTTAGCGGACACAGCTAGCTACCCTCTCTGCTCCCCACCCGCTCGTCGTCCCACCCGCTGCTCGTCGTCACCCCCTTTGCTCGTCACCCCCTTTGCTCATCACCCCCTCTGCTCGTCACCCCCTCTGCTCGTCACCCCCTCTGCTCGTCACCCCCTCTGCTCGTCGCCCCCTCTGCTCGTCGCCCCCTCTGCTCGTCGCCCCCTCTGCTCGTCGCCCCCTCTGCTCGTCGCCCCCTCTGCTCGTCGCCCCCTCTGCTCGTCGCCCCCTCTGCTCGTCGCCCCCTCTGCTCGTCGCCCCCTCTGCTCGTCGCCCCCTCTGCTCGTCGCCCCCTCTGCTCGTCGCCCCCTCTGCTCGTCGCCCCCTCTGCTCGTCGCCCCCTCTGCTCGTCGCCCCCTCTGCTCGTCGCCCCCTCTGCTCGTCGCCCCCTCTGCTCGTCGCCCCCTCTGCTCGTCGCCCCCTCTGCTCGTCGCCCCCTCTGCTCGTCGCCCCCTCTGCTCGTCGCCCCCTCTGCTCGTCGCCCCCTCTGCTCGTCGCCCCCTCTGCTCGTCGCCCCCTCTGCTCGTCGCCCCCTCTGCTCGTCGCCCCCTCTGCTCGTCGCCCCCTCTGCTCGTCGCCCCCTCTGCTCGTCGCCCCCTCTGCTCGTCGCCCCCTCTGCTCGTCGCCCCCTTTGCTCGTCGCCCCCTTTGCTCGTCGCCCCCTTTGCTCGTCGCCCCCTTTGCTCGTCGCCCCCTTTGCTCGTCGCCCCCTTTGCTCGTCGCCCCCTTTGCTCGTCGCCCCCTTTGCTCTTCGCCCCCTTTGCTCGTCGCCCCCTTTGCTCGTCGCCCCCTTTGCTCGTCGCCCCCTTTGCTCGTCACCCCCTTTGCTCGTCACCCCCTTTGCTCGTCACCCCCTTTGCTCGTCACTCCCTCAGCTCGTCACTCCCTCCATACAAACTGCATGTGCTGCTCTAGGCAGAACAAGGATCGTCCGGAGAAGTCATGCGTCCAACCAAGCAGCCCATGCCTTGAAGCCCAGGGGAGGGAGACTCCCTTTGCCTTTCCCTTTTCACGACGAGATGGATTTCGAGTAAACCCTTTCCGTTGTGCACTCATTGTGCGCTGATTTCTCTTCTATTCCTGCCTTTACTCGTGCTCCTAACCCTCTTTCGGCCCAGCACTGCAGATATAGTCATCGCTGCACCTCGCAGTGCGGAACCCGTGTCTCAGCCGCACAATGTCATTCGTGAAGGTGGAGTGGGCTGTGCCCAGAAAGCCAGCACCCAACGCACACACCAGCTTCTCCAGCGTGGCGACCGCTTGCGGGGTGGTCTTGATATTGATGCCCTGGTGGAGGGAGCAAGGCAACATGAGGTTGAATGGAGGGGGGAGATAGCTCTTGGTGAACGAGGAGTGGGCTGTGCCCAGAAAGCCAGTAGGCAGCGCACGCACCAGCTTCTCGAGAGTGGTGTCGGCTTGCGGGGCGGTCTTGATATTGATGCCCTGTTTGGGGGGAAGGAGGAGGGGAAGGTGGTTGAAGGGAAGGGGAGGCTAGCTTTGGAGGAGGAGGGCACATCAGCCAGCGCGAACTGCAGCTTCCCGTGCAGCTTCCCAGTGTGGAGGTGGCTTGAGTGGTCTTGAGATCAATGCCCTGTGGGAGGGAGAATGACAAGTTATGAATGAGGTTGGTTGGAGGGGGAAGAAAGACCTGAATGATGATGGAAGCACAGCAGCGGCCACTATGCCTGCTGCCGAGGTCGTGAATTGAACAGAAGAAAGACCACAAACAGCCTTGAGAGGCGTTCCAACAGACTCAAAAGTCACAATGACACCTAACTCGTGCTCTATTGGACCGGCCCTAACCATCACTCGCCAACTTTCACCAGCCTCCACTATCCATCACCACCCTTCACCGCCCCTCACCAACCTTCACCATCCTTCACCAGCGTTTGCCAGCTTTGACCGTGTATAACTGTTCAAGTTGAGCGTCTTTTGAAAATTGACAAAACAATCAACCTTTAAACCTGCACAGTGTAAAACTGCTGCCAACTCACATTTTCCATAAGCGGTTGAAGCCACATGCTGCTGTCCCCTTTAGAGAGCAGATGCGCTAGCGTTACAAGCTGCACTGCACTGCTGCTGCCATCTACAGCGTCAGGACCGCTGCTGGTGTTGGCAGGCTGCTCATCATGCAGTGAAGCCTCAAATTCGCTTGAAACACCAGGCAGCAAGCGCCGGGCGATCGCGGGCATCAATCGCTGAGATCGTGGATCCAACGGCTGAGAATCGGGCCCAGTCAGCTGTGCACCCTGCAGTAAGTGCGGTGCTTCAGCTGGCAGTGGCATCTCCTCTTGCTGACCTCGGCTCTCATGCTCATCTGCAAGTCGACTCAACAGTCTTCTCTCAAGTGCCTCTCTAGATGGCTGTTCCTGCTCCACTGCAGCAGCCGCTGTAGCAGCAGCAGCACCACCAGCAGCAGCAGCACCAGCAGCAGCAGCAGCAGCAGCAGCAGCAGCAGCAGCAGCAGCCACAGCAGCAGCAGTATCAGCCGCAGCAGCCGTAGCTGCGACCTCCAGTGACTGTTCTTGAGGCGCCTCAAGGAGCGTAGCTGCAATGGCTGCTACCTCGTGCGGCCGCGCGTTGGTGGCAAGGAAGACGAGGGGTACACGTGCTGTCAGGGCTGCAGCATGCATGCACTGTGCTGCCTGGTCCACTGGGAGGAAACAGCCGTCCGATGGGTGCTGGTGGGAGGGATGGGAGGGAGAGAGAGGGCGTTGGTGGCGAAGAAGACGAGGGGTACACATGCTGTCAGGGCTGCAGCACGCATGCACTGTGCTGCCAGGTCCACTGGGAGGAAACAGCCGTCCGATGCTGGTGAAAGTGGTGCGAGAGAGAGCAATAGGGGTGGGAGAGAGTGAGAGGGTGGGATAGCGGGTGAGAGAAGGGAGAAAGAGCAGAGACAGGGACGTGATGGTGGAGGGATGGAGGGGACGTGATTGGTGGAGGGATGGAGGGGACGTGATTGGTGGAGGGATGGAGGGGACGTGATGGTGGGAGAGAGAGAGAGGGTGCGAGGGATCGGAGAGAAGGTGAGTGGAGAAAAGGGATGGGTGAGAGAGAGAAAGGGTGCGAGGGAACGGAAAGAGAGGGAGTTTGCAGTAGTCCTTAAGTCTCCCCTCCCGAATTGCACATTGTTTCAAGACGACGTCTCAAGGCGCTTTTGATATCACATTGCTATCACACGAGTCGTACCTTCTTCTGGCAGTAGTCCTTAAAGTCGCCCCTCCTGAATTGCACTGCCAGGAACTGGCCGTTGAGCAGATGGAGCTGCACTATGTGCCGCGCTGCTGCTATCAGTGGCTCAGGCGGCTGGGGAAGCGGGGGTGGTGAAGAGGAAGAAGAGTTTTGAGACGACTCAAAGCAAGCGAACATGAAAAGAGGAAGGAGAGGAGGAAGCAGCCACTCAGAAGAGGGTGCCGCACTATGTGTCATGGTACCATCTTTCACCAAACGACAATCTCACATCTCAATGGAAATTACTTGACACAGCAAGCCTCTCATCTGGATGGCAATCTCTCATCTGGATGGCAATCTCTCATCTGGATGGCAATCTCTCATCTGGATGGCAATCTCTCATCTGGATGGCAATCTCTCATCTGGATGGCAATCTCTCATCTGGATGGCAATCTCTCATCTGGATGGCAATCTCTCATCTGGATGGCAATCTCTCATCTGGATGGCAATCTCTCATCTGGATGGCAATCTCTCATCTGGATGGCAATCTCTCATCTGGATGGCAATCTCTCATCTGGATGGCAATCTCTCATCTGGATGGCAATCTCTCATCTGGATGGCAATCTCTCATCTGGATGGCAATCTCTCATCTGGATGGCAATCTCTCATCTGGATGGCAATCTCTCATCTGGATGGCAATCTCTCATCTGGATGGCAATCTCTCATCTGGATGGCAATCTCTCATCTGGATGGCAATCTCTCATCTGGATGGCAATCTCTCATCTGGATGGCAATCTCTCATCTGGATGGCAATCTCTCATCTGGATGGCAATCTCTCATCTGGATGGCAATCTCTCATCTGGATGGCAATCTCTCATCTGGATGGCAATCTCTCATCTGGATGGCAATCTCTCATCTGGATGGCAATCTCTCATCTGGATGGCAATCTCTCATCTGGATGGCAATCTCTCATCTGGATGGCAATCTCTCATCTGGATGGCAATCTCTCATCTGGATGGCAATCTCTCATCTGGATGGCAATCTCTCATCTGGATGGCAATCTCTCATCTGGATGGCAATCTCTCATCTGGATGGCAATCTCTCATCTGGATGGCAATCTCTCATCTGGATGGCAATCTCTCATCTGGATGGCAATCTCTCATCTGGATGGCAATCTCTCATCTGGATGGCAATCTCTCATCTGGATGGCAATCTCTCATCTGGATGGCAATCTCTCATCTGGATGGCAATCTCTCATCTGGATGGCAATCTCTCATCTGGATGGCAATCTCTCATCTGGATGGCAATCTCTCATCTGGATGGCAATCTCTCATCTGGATGGCAATCTCTCATCTGGATGGCAATCTCTCATCTGGATGGCAATCTCTCATCTGGATGGCAATCTCTCATCTGGATGGCAATCTCTCATCTGGATGGCAATCTCTCATCTGGATGGCAATCTCTCATCTGGATGGCAATCTCTCATCTGGATGGCAATCTCTCACCCGGATGGCTGGAGACACGAGGCACGTTTCTCGTGGCACCACCGTGGCAGGCACGTTTTTCCCCCTCTGCTTGGCCGGGGGTGGGGGCAGCAGGAACGGCAGGTCCATAGGGGAGAGCATTCGAAAGAAGATGGAATCCGTGATGGGTTGCTGGTGGGAGAAGGGGGAGAGGGCAGGCGGTGGGGAGGAGAGGGAGACATGTGTGAGAATGCATGGAATGGAAGAGGACACAGAGCAGCAGGCATGGGAGAGGACACAGAGCAGCAGGCATGGGAGAGGACACAGAGCAGCAGGCATGGGAGAGGACACAGAGCAGCAGGCATGGGAGAGGACACAGAGCAGCAGGCATGGGAGAGGACACAGAGCAGCAGGCATGGGAGAGGACACAGAGCAGCAGGCATGGGAGAGGACACAGAGCAGCAGGCATGGGAGAGGACACAGAGCAGCAGGCATGGGAGAGGACACAGAGCAGCAGGCATGGGAGAGGACACAGAGCAGCAGGCATGGGAGAGGACACAGAGCAGCAGGCATGGGAGAGGACACAGAGCAGCAGGCATGGGAGAGGACACAGAGCAGCAGGCATGGGAGAGGACACAGAGCAGCAGGCATGGGAGAGGACACAGAGCAGCAGGCATGGGAGAGGACACAGAGCAGCAGGCATGGGAGAGGACACAGAGCAGCAGGCATGGGAGAGGACACAGAGCAGCAGGCATGGGAGAGGACACAGAGCAGCAGGCATGGGAGAGGACACAGAGCAGCAGGCATGGGAGAGGACACAGAGCAGCAGGCATGGGAGAGGACACAGAGCAGCAGGCATGGGAGAGGACACAGAGCAGCAGGCATGGGAGAGGACACAGAGCAGCAGGCATGGGAGAGGACACAGAGCAGCAGGCATGGGAGAGGACACAGAGCAGCAGGCATGGGAGAGGACACAGAGCAGCAGGCATGGGAGAGGACACAGAGCAGCAGGCATGGGAGAGGACACAGAGCAGCAGGCATGGGAGAGGACACAGAGCAGCAGGCATGGGAGAGGACACAGAGCAGCAGGCATGGGAGAGGACACAGAGCAGCAGGCATGGGAGAGGACACAGAGCAGCAGGCATGGGAGAGGACACAGAGCAGCAGGCATGGGAGAGGACACAGAGCAGCAGGCATGGAGGAGGACACAGAGCAGCAGGAATGGGAGACCCATGGGAGAGAGCGTGCGGAAGAAGGTGGAATGCGTGATGGGTTGCTGGTGGAGTGTGGGAGGGAAAATTAGGATCATGGGGATGGAAAGTGAACATGAGATGAGATAGACGTACACAAAGGTTTACACCATGGAATGGGGGAGATAATATGTATCGGCATCATTGGCCATATCAGGTAACATCACACATCATGAAGTGGCACCACGCATTATGAGGTGGCATCAGCAGGCACAGTGGTCACAGAGAGAGACAGAGAGAGACACAGGGACGCACCTTCTTGAACTCGCCAATCATCAGCACACCGTTCGGCACTTGGCTGTACACCTTGAGGAACGCTGCCAGGAGAGGTTGAGATGGGTGCGGTTGAGAGGGGTGTGGTCGAGAGGGGTGTGGTTGATAGGGATACAGTTGGGCTGGATGGCATGACATGGCATGGCATGGTAATGCATGTTGGAATGGTAGAGGGAAGGGAAGTACTTGACAAGGTTCAAGACAAGTGCTCAGTGCGCGCATGGATGTGACACACCACAAAGGCCTCTTTGCTAGCCACTACCTCTCATCCATTCAGACACCACCACACAACACTAGACATGAGCAAAAATTCGAACCCCTGTTCGGTTCGACTCAAAAGTGTTCGACTCGAACGTGTTCGAGTGGTTTTTTTGCCCAAAATTGTTCGTGACGAACACCTTGGTGTTCGTCACAAACACGTTCGACTGTTCGAGTGTTCGTGTGCAGAAAAATGCACGAACACTTAGGTGTTCGCGAACACAATGTGTTCGTCGCAAACACCTAGGTGTTCGTGCATTTTTCTGCGTGTCAAAGTTTGACGGGCTGGTTGGATCTGAAAGGGGAGGGCGACGACTGAGCTCAAGAATTAGCTCTATCGTCGATATAGCCTAAGGATGACATTCCGCCCCCTACCCACTTAAACTAACACATTTCCACGGTTAAAATTCCACATTGTGGCTGCAAACGTTAGGTATAAGGTTGGATTAGGGTAGGAGACGGTTTAAAAAAGGAACTAAGGGCATTACGGTTTATGTTGGAGTTTAGCAGGGCAAAATTGGATATCCACCAGATCTGCGTCAAGCCTAACTATATCTCTTGTAGGGCTATAGGGAACGTGATATTGTTTCTAGTACACTCGCCCTGCCTGAATGTGGCTATACTGAAAGAACCCCCGAAGGCAAACTGTTCGAGTTCGGGTCAAACACCTTAGTGTTCGGCCTTGCCTCAAAACTGTTCGACCCTATACTCGAACGGGGAACACTAACATTTAAGAAAATTGTTCGAGTCAAACGTGTTCGGTTCGATTCGAACTGACCAAGTGTTCGTAAACTGTTCAAGACAAACGTGTTCGGTTCGCTCGTTGCTCATGTCTACACAACACCACACCACACCACACCACACCATACCATAACGCATCCAGCCAGTATTCTCCAATCCCATTGCATCACACAACACCACATCACACCACACCACACCACACCACACCACACCACACCACACCACACCACACCACACCACTGCACAGGCTGCAGCACTGTCCACTTGGCAGGTTAGATTCCCACGCAGCGCATACCTCTCAAACTAAGAAAACGGGTAGAAAGCTGCAAGCTCGGTTCGACCGACCTGACTAATCTGAGAGGTATTAAAATCACTGAGTACTAGGCAAGAAGACGTGTAGGTAAGCGTAGTAGTATCAATCGGTACAAGTGGTTCAGAGAGCGTACGCGCATTTCAGCTTTTTAGGCCTTCATCGGCGCACAGCACAGGCACAGACCTCTCCACCATAGCAGGCAGCCCAAGCGTTGGTCTCCACACAGCACCGTAGACCAGCCCCACACACACAGCACCGTAGAACAGCCCCACACACACAGCACCGTAGAACAGCCCCACACACACAGCACCTTATAACAGCCCCACACACACAGCACCCAAGAACAGCCCCACACACACAGCACCCAAGAACAGCCCCACACACACAGCACCCAAGAACAGCCCCACACACACAGCACCCAAGAACAGCCCCACACACACAGCACCCAAGAACAGCCCCAGTTGCCAAACAACAGTCAAGCCAGCCCAGCGCTCCAATGCAACTCCACTTCACAATCACAGCACTTTGCTCAATGCACAGTCTCAGTTGCACACTACGCTCGGGTTTTGAGGCGCCTCAAAAGTAGCCTTGGTCCGTCGCACACTACACTCGTGCCCAACCGCACTTCCCACGCAACGCAACACTCAGGCACAGCCCAGCCCAGCATACAGCACTGCAGCCCAGCCCAGCATTGCCCACCTTGCAGCGAGTGCTTGTCCGGCAGGCCAGACCACGCCCACTGCTCCACTGCCGGCACTGTCACGTTTGCCAGGCTGATGCGCCCCTTGCTCGCCTTGAACTGCCCGCCATGCGCTGCAGGAGGAGAGGGGGGGGCAGCGGGGACTGCAGAGGTGTTGAGGAACTTTCGCCATCTCACATCCTTCCTGGTCCACTTTCTAATTCTTTAAGGGGACTCAAAAACATTCGCCAGGCTGATGCGCCCCTTGCTCGCCACAAACTGCCCCATTGGTGCTGCTGCCCGGGGGTGGTGCACGAGAGGGGTGATGAGGGAAGGGATGGGGGGGGGGGAAGAGGAGGAGGGCATCGGGAAGGGGAGGGAAAGGGGAGTGTGGTAGAAGAGGGAGGAATGGGGGTGGGGAAGAAGGTGGGTAAGAGGGGATTGTTGTCTCAAAACCCTTCTAAAAATGCCCCCCTGCGTTCGCCAGGCTGAGGCGCCCCTTGCTCGCCACAAACTGCCCCACTGGTGCTGCTGCTGCCCAAGGGTCGCGTGCAGAGGTGGGCGGGGAAGAGGGTTCTGAGACGTCTCAGAACGCCAGCGATGCTGCTGCAAATGGGTGGCGGCGCAGGGGGGAGGGGGAGGGAAGGAGAGAAGGTGCTAATCTCTACCGGTGCAGCCCTGTTCCCCCCGTGCAGCCTGCCCCCCACTGCAGCCCTGGCCCCCCAGTGCAGCCCTTTCCCCCCCACCTGCTGCCATTCTCCCCTCTGTGCGCCCCACTCACCAGCGTCAGGCACGAGGTGGCAGCCCTTGACGAGGCACAGCACGTGGGTCACTTCCATGCTGCCCCTGCCCACCTACAGGAGGGGGCAAAACGCGGGTGGGGGATGGGGGCATGGGCAGATGCGTGGCAGGGACAGGGAGGAAGACGGGTGGTAGGGGCAACGGGGCAGATGGGCGGTAGGGGCAGGAAAGGTGGTAGGAGAAGGCGGGGGTAGAAAAGAGTAAGGCACAGTGTGACAACTCTGATGGTGTATGCATGCATGCATGTGACCTTGCAGTAGTAAGACATGATGACATGCTTACATGATATTACACGACATGGGGGCATGGTTATGTCACGACATGAGACGCCAAGATAATACATCAGATCACATCGCACCGTATCACAACACATCACATGACATAATCATAACATCCCGTGACATCGCATCTCATCCCACGACGTCGCATCTCATCCCATGACATCCAATCTCATCCCATGACATCGAATCTCATCCCATGACATCGCAACACGCTGACGAGGCAGGCAGCAGTGGAATAAAATAAGGTATGGCACGCGTGCGCGCGCGCGCACACACACACACAGGCACACACGCACGCGCGCGCGCACACACACACACACAGAGGATACGGCACACATGAGGGCATGGGGCATGACAGCGGCACGGCAGCACGGATGACTGACGAAGTGCTTGTACTCGTGGAGGGTGAGGGCAGTCTTGGGACCATAGCAGGCACGCAGGAAGGGCACGTCCAACACGAGGGAGAGCGGCAGGGTCAGCTGTTGTGCGACGGGTGCAACCAAGAGGCAACAGCGGGAAGGTGGGGGTGAGAAAGGAAAAATATGTACGAGGAGGAGGAGGAGGTGCGGAGAGGCGCAGCGCAGGCCCGCAGGGCGGCAAAAGGGGAAGAAACGGCGACATAATACGAAGCAGTGTACGAGGCGGCATGGCAACTAGCAAACATCCAGCGGGCATTTGTTAGAATTGACAGTACTTGCTGAACGGCAAAAATGGTCATACCCACTACCCCATCACATGCCATGGTTCGATGACAAGGCAGCAAAAGCCAGGGGCAGTGGCACGGCAACAAGGCAAGAAAAGGCAGGCGGGCAGGGCGGGGCGGGGCGGGGCGGGGCAGGGCAGGGCAGGGCAGGGCAGGGCAACTCAGCATACCTCGTGTGGCCCCATGGGCACCACGAGCGTTCGGTTGAGAGCGCCTGCCATCAGCGCGAACTCCCGCAGACAGAAGAGATGGTTGGACATCTGCGTGGGGTGGCAGGCACACAGGGGCGCATGGGAGGAGGGGCGCATGGGTGCATGGGAGGCGCGCTTGCGAAGCAAGGGAGCAGGTGGACAAGAGCATCGTGGCACTTGTCTCTGACACACAGAAGGCGAGCACACATGCACACATGCAGAGTAGAGCAGAGCAGAGCAGAGCGGAGCAGAGCATCACTTCTCACCCCGCCAGTGGAGCAGAGCGCCAGAAGGTACTTTCTGCCGTCGGGGCTCCACGGCGCGCCCAGCAGGGGCTCGCTGGGAATTCCCCCAATTCTAGCCACGTCTCCTGCCACGTCCGCAATGACGTCAGCAGCCAGGCTGGCATTGGCCAATGGGGTGATGGGTGGAGGTTGAGGGTCCGCCCACCCGCTTATGGCGGTCATGGGAATGTAGAGAGCCCCTCCGGGGGATGAGGACGAGGTAGATGAGGGGGATGCGCATTGTGCTTGTGATTCCGATGCTGATGCTGTTGATGGTAGTCCTCCTGACGATGTGCCTGCTGCTGCTTCTGCTGGCAATGCTGCTGCGGGGGCTGGTAGCGACGCTGGTGAGAGGAAGGACGGCAGCACAGACGGCTGAGACTGAGAGGGCGGGGACTGTGAGGGCTGGGACTGGGCGGGCAGGGATTGTGAGGGTGGGGATTGGGAGGTCGGGGATTCTGATGATGCCACTGATTCTGCAGATACTGCTGTCAGCGATGCCAGCGCTGCTGCTGCCTCCGATACCAGCGGTGCTGCGATAGACGGCACAACCGAGGGTGGCGGCAGCGACGCGAGGGTGAGTGCTTGCAGGGCAGCAGCGGCAGGGTGGACAGCAGTACCGGCACCACCACCACCAACACTGGCGGCATCGGCACCACCGGCACCTAGAGTCTCACCGGAACCAGCACCCTCCGCAGCGGCAACGCTTCCGTCGCCATCACCACTGCCCATGCCAGGTGCAACCCCTGCTGTCTCCCACCCACTGCCGCTGCTGCTGTCGCTTGTGCTATCACTTGCGCTGCCGCTGCTGCTGTCGACCATACCATCGCCACTGCCTTCGCCGCCGCCGTTGCCACTGACGTCCCGCGCCGGCCGCCAGCGGAGCGTGGCAGCGTGGTGCAGATGGGCGAGGAACGGTGACCTGCGGTAACCACCGCCGCCGCCACCGCTGCTGCCGCTGCTGCTACCGCCGCTGCTGGTGAAAGCACTGCTGCTAGGGTTTAGGTCGCCGGTGATGGTGCTGTCACCATTGCTGGTGATGTAACTGCTTGTTTTGGTTACTCTGGGGTCCGTGCTTTGGCTGTTGGGGCCGGTGGGAGGAAGGCTGGTGGGATCTGTAAAGGTTTCCCAGCCGAAGGAGCCGGCTTGGTTGAGGGAGACGAGGAAGAGCGAGCAGAGGACGAGGAGGAGGAGGAGGAACGGCAGGGCGAGGAGCGCGAGAGGCGACGAGGAGTGCTTCTCAGCCGCGTGCCACCGCCACGTGCCGCTGCCGGCGCCGGCGCCGGCGCCGCCGCTACTGTGAGGCGAGCCAATCCATGATTTGATGATGACGTGGCGCCGCGGAACCTCGAGATGCGCCGCTGGCGGTCTCGCCGCCGTCGCCAGCATGTGTCGCCACGCGCTGTGCGACGCGAGCATGGCGGCGGCGTCCCTGCGATCATGATCGTCGCCGTCGCCTGCGCTCATGACGGTTGAATGATGCGATTTTGGCAGCGCGAATGGTGGCGTGCGACAAAGTTACTAGCGAAGCTTCATTATGACAACGAAGGATTTCCGAGTCGACGAAAACGACGCTCCATTCGTTTCAGACGGCTAGCAAATTCCGAGTAGACAAAACGAAGGAACGAATCCAACAAGCTCGGCTGGCGGATACGCGGCAGCGGGCGGAGATGCTGCGGAAGGCGGAGAGGCTGCGGAAGGCGGAGAGGCTGCGGTAAGGCGGAGAGGGTTGCGGGAGAGGCTGCGGTAAGGCGGAGAGGCTGCGGAACTTCTGAAGAAAGTCAACGCCGTGGAGAGCAGGCGCTATTACTCATACTAGCGACGCCGCGCCACGAACGTGGCGAAGACTCCGAGTCGCGTTTATTACTTCTAGAGCGAGGCGGATTGGAGACGCCGCGGCGGCTCGGGCATCAAGGAGTAGCCACGAGATTAAGGCGGAATTAGGAACTTCTGGTGGCTGCGACACCGAGGTCGCGACGCGCCACTCACGGCATGCGACCTTGATGCAGGGACTGCCAGCCCACACGATATGGAACAGGGAGAATGCATGAACGTTCCCTCGGCGAAATCAGGCGTAACGGACGGACGGACCTGCTGTGCTGCTGCGCAACTGAACGGACGGACGGAACGGACGGACACTGTTCAGGAAGATGGGCGGAAGGTGGTGGTGGGTACAGTACAAGGAATGCTCGAGCGGATGCTTCTAAGCCTGACACGTGTCAATGCACGGTACGATGATAAGTGGGGAAAGTGATACTTGTGGGCGATAAGCGCAAGATCTTCACTATTGTGCTAAAAAGGTCTCCAGCCACAAGCCTACTACGTCATCTTTAGTTTTCTAGTAATTCAATTCAGTTTATTTGAAACAAGAGGGGAGTAAATCTTCTTAGGGTTGCGAAGCAACAATTGTAACATGCCCAAAGATTTATTAACTACGTTGATTATTTCGTCGCATTCGGATTAAATATATGGGTGCCATTTTTATGTCATTATGTGAATGATGAGTTGAAGATTATAATTGTTTTTTAGAATTTATGTGGTATACGTGGTAGACTTGATTTCTCTATATTATACCGTCATACCCCGGATATAAGCGCCACCCCCGGATAAGCGCCTGGCGCTTTTAATTGGCGTGTGGCGCTTATATCCGGTGCTCGATTATAAGCGCATACCTAAAAGGCTTACAGATTATAACCGCATACCTATACCGACCACATTATAACCGCCACCCTGGTTTTTTGTTGTTTTTTTAATTTGAAGACATTTTATACATTTTATCCACTAGCATATCATGTTAGTTAATCTACAACTAGTTTATCTACTTCTAGTTAATCTAATTCTACCTACGAGCTTCACACAGGCTTCACCATTTTCTAGAATTCTACCCTACTCTAATCATCAGCTACAGTGGGGTCATCTGGGTCGGCCTCAGAGTCCGACTCAGGTTCCTCTACGTTGTTGCAGAAGAAACCGTCAGCTGCAATTTCATCATCCATGTCAACCTCCTCGCCCTCGAGCTCGTCTCGCCTGTGTTGCAGGCAGAGCTTGTCCTGGGACCCATCCAGGGCGTTGCTGATGTCGCAGGTGAGGAACGCTCGTTGAATAAGCTCCTTGGGCACGGACTTCCAGGCCGTCGAGATCCACTTGAGCGTCAGCTCGACAGGAGGCTTCTTGATGTTGCCTGCCACGCAAATCCACAAACCGGGTCAGCACGGGTTAAAGAAATAAAAACGTTATCAGTGCTGCACCTCTCACCTTTCTTCGTCAAGGTGTCGACCCCCTCACACTCAAACCACTCCTGGTAGAGCTGGCGAACGGCGGCCTTGAAGGAGCGGTTAACCGCGACATCGAGGGGTTGAATCTCCGAGGTGCAGCCAGCAGGGATAACCGCAGGGACCAGGTTGAGCTCGCCAAACTTCTTCTTCACCTCCGGGGTCAGGTGCCCGCGGTACGAATCGAGGACGAGCAGAGCCTTGCGGGTGTTGGGCTGGGATAGCCCCTTAGGATCTTTGCAAGAGATAACTCTAGGTGAAGTAGTTGTAATAGCGGAAGCGTTTAGTGAAGAATTTGAACCGACCTTGCACTGGTGTGTGAGAGCAAAGTTGATTGAATTAAACAAGCAAATACAAGGATTTATATAAGAGTACAGGGAATACGAATAGATATGTAGATAACTGTATTGCTGTTGCGATTCGATACAGTGCGACTCGGGCAACTGCTCTGTAACGAGTCAGTTGTGTGTCCTTAACTGTCGCGCTGTAATTGTCGAGTCAAAGGTCAGCGACCTTTGACTTTCTCGTAACCTCCAGGCGGTTACCCTAACCTCCGAGGTTGACTCGATGCTTCGATTGGGACTGCTTCGCTTGGTGCCTTGGGTTTTGATACGACAGAAGCGCACTTAGGACTTATTGTTTCCAACACTCCCCTTCGCTTCTGGAGTGTCGCTGCTGGTGACGTGGCCTTGTCCAGTCAGCATCATGCAGTATTCGAACTTCTGCTTTCCGAGTTTCTTGGTCAAGTAATCGGCTGCCATCTCGGATGTTGGGCAGTATGACAGATTGAGTTTCCCTTTTTCTATCTCGTCCTTCACGAAGAAATAGCGCAGGGCGATGTGTTTCGTCCTGTTTGCGAAGCCGCTTTTGTTGGCGATGCGAATTGTTGACTGGTTGTCGCAGAACACAGTGAAGCTGGGTAGCTCGGCTAGCTTCGCTTCTTCCAGTAGTTCGCGAAGGTAAAGTCCCTCCTTGGTGGCTGAGCAGAGTGCAATATATTCTGCTTCTGCTGAAGATAGTGCGATTAACTCCTGTTTGCTCGACTGCCAGGAGATAGGACCGATAGGCTCAAGGCGGTAGACATAGCCGGTGCGTGAGCGCCTGTTGTCGGTGTCGCCGGCGTGATCGGCGTCGACGTAGCCGATTAACTTAGTTGGTGTAGCTGCGCTCTTGTGGTAGGTTAGCCCGATCGTCGCGGTGCTGACGAAGTAGTGGAGAGCGCGATCAAGTTCTGCCAGGTGTTCAGCTTCAGGCTTCTTGAGATAGGTGGCGAGCTGACTTGCGGAGTAGGATAAGTCAGGACGGCAGGTGACGGCGGCGAATAGCAGGCATCCGAGCTTCTTCTGATAGTCGCGTATACCGGCGGGCTTGAGTAGAGTAGTTCGTTCCTTCTCGGTTCCTGATGTGTAGCGGTAAGGCGTGGAGATGGAGCTTGGTGTGAGGCTGAAGCGTTTCGCGATGGTGTCGGCGTATTTCTCGGCGCTTAGATAGATGGCGTTTTCTTCTTCGCGGATGTTGAGCCCGAGGTACTGTGTAACGGTGGAGGAGACCGTGAGCGTGAGGTCTTTCTGGAGCTCTCCTTCGAACCACGTGGCGATGCCGTCGGTTGACCCAATGTAGAGGAGATCGTCCACGTAGACGATCAGGAGAACGTAGTCGCTTCCCTTAGTGAGGCGGTACATGCCTTGGTCGTGAGGTAGTTGACTAAAGCCGATGCGGATGAGACGGGCGTGCAGGTACTGCTGCCACAGTCGCGGTGCCTGCTTGATCCCGTAGAGCGACTTAAGTAGTTGACAGATTCGGTTGGGTTCGCCGTGGGAACCGTGCGGGAGCTCGACGTAGATTTCTGCATCCACAGGTGCGTAGAGGAAGGCATTCGCGACGTCGATCTGCCGTAACTTCTTTTTCTTCATGGCGGCAATGGCGAGGAGAATTCGGAGTGACGTGTGGCGGCTGACTGGAGCAAAGGTCTCGGTGAAGTCTCGTCCTTGCTCTTGGTCGAATCCACGTACGACCCAGCGTGCTTTGAATTTTTCGATCGTGCCGTCTGCTTTCGTCTTGATGCGGAAGACCCATTTCCCGGTAAGGATGGTTTTGTTCCGTGCCACGCTTACGGGAACAACCTTCCAAGTGTTGCGTTCCTCTAATGCCTTCAGTTCTCTATCCATGGCTTCACGCCATTTCTCCCTGTGTTCCCCCCCCAGAGCCTGTTGAACCGTTGCAGGCTCCTTAGGAAGCGAGCTGCGTGTGTTCCCGTGGACTGCGGTGACGAGGCCGAGGATTTGCAGTCCAGTCTGTGAGTATCGAGGGAGTTCTGGATCCTCGGGATAAGCTGCTTCGTCTCCTGCTTCTGGATCAGGGATGAAATTCGGTCCTATCCTTTCTGCTTCATTTGTGTTGACGGTTGCAGGTGTTACGTAACCGGTGTCGGCGAAGTGGTAGAAGACTTCGGCGTTGTTA